CCCCAAAACCCCAAAACCCCAAAACCCCAAAACCCCTTAAATTAAGTGGAGTTTTGAAATTATAATTTATTTTAATTATTGTATGCAGAAGAGAGATGGACCAACATAAAAATACCTTCCATCATAAAACTAATAAAACTACTAAAACCGATACTGCTACCAAAGCGGAGCGAAAACGTGAGCAAAAGATGCAGGAAAAAGAAATTGAGAATTTCAATTCCTGCACTATAAAATCAAGTAAAAACACTAATACCGGCCAAGACAGTACTACTGAGGAGGAAGATGAAGAAGAAACTGAAAAATCAGCCACTAGTGCAAAAACTGCTACTGCTAGTACTACCAATGGTAACTTCAAAAGGTTCAAAACAACTGAGGTTACTAATTTCGATAGGTTCGAAACTACCTCCTCGTCTCACCTGGTTGAGAGTGACTCTCAAAGCCAGGTTTTTGACGGACTTAATACCGATACTACGATGTCCAATAACCCTACTTGTAGTATCGATGATCTTATACCTATGGGAGAGAGACTTGCCGCTCTCTACAAAGGTACCCTAATGTCTAGGGAAACTCAGAATGGTAGAGGAGGAAGCAAGGGATTGAGGTTCAAATGCTCAAACAACCATGAGTTTACTGTATCTTATGGTAAGCTCAAGCAAGTTCCAACAAGTAATTTGACTCTCGAGACCTGTAAAGACATTTGGTGTGTAAAATGTCACAATTTCTATTACAGATGCAAGACCAAGGCTGAGCAAAATAGTGCTGTAGTTACAAGTACCATCTTTGAAGCCGGCCATGTGAAACTCAACTGTCGTATGGGCCATGATTTCAAGATATCAATACATAGAAACCCAGATAAAGTTTGGTGCTCTCGTTGCAAGAAAGATACTAAAACTGAAATGCTTAAGCAAAAAGAACTAGATCTTGAAAGAAAAAGAGCAGAGATAAATCAGCAACAGAGAAAGCTATTCGAAGAATCAAAGAACAAAATTCAAAATTCTCCTGCTTTCCAGACTCAGCAATCACTTACTCTTCAAGAAATCTTGAAGCAAGTAGAGTTGAAGGCAAAATATGAGACACAAAAATTCCTGGCCCAATCTGGCACTACTCAGAGTGAATCAAGTATATTCAACATCTACAAGACAATTTACATGCCAAGTGAGATTTTGCAGGCTTCTCTCCAGTCTTTGGGGGAACACCTCAACTCTTGCTTCAGAAAGATGGCTGTGATACTCCATCCGGACAAGAACAGCCATCCACTCTCTAAGAGAGCATTCCAAAAATTATCTCAGGTATATGCAAACATTAAGCTTTCACTGAGATAGAAAAGTATTTATTCTTATAAATCTACAAAATTAGAGCCAATGCCTTTAGCCATTTGGCTGTGTCCTAGAGTAAGTTCACTTATCTATTAGGCAAAATATGACTGATCATTCATTATAAAGGCTCATTAGCTTTGGCTTAAACTTATTATATTCTATGCCAACAAAAGAGATAGTTTGGCTCCTATCCATTCTCGTGGATCCCAATATATTTACTTTTATCATCGCTAGAATTAGCCAATATAATTGTTTTTTAAAGGGGTTTTGGGGTTTTGGGGTTTTGGGGTTTTGGGG